CGCACCGAGCGGCCCAGGTGTCTCTTAGCAGGAGCAGGGACCTGCGGCCACAAGGAGCCCCGTATTCTGGAGAGGACGACAGCCAGAGCACGTTGGAGAGGGAACCCCTCCCTCCACCTCCTGCTCAGCCGTGGGGTCTCCCCAGGGAGGGGGGCACCTAAGCCCTGAGACTGATCGAGGTACCTGACTCCGGAGCTCACTGTATCGGGCTTCGGCCCTCTAGGCTTTACTGATCATGGGGTGCCTGTGGCATTGACTAACCTGCCAAAGTCCCATCCCCGGGTGCACCGGGCTCCGGGCATGGGCTCTAAAAGCCCTGGGGGTGGGGGAGGGACTAGGGCTGGTGGGAGTCCCAAAGGGGATGCACTTCCCACCCTAACTCCGCCCGGGACCTCCCTCACCTGCCCCTGCAGTGCAGCCTTGCCCCGGGCTTGCCGGGCCCCTGGCAGGGGGATGGGGTGGGACCCAGGGGAACGGGGCGGCTCTTTAGCAGCCCCCAGCGCCCCACCCTGTCCTTCGGGCCAAGGTGGGGAGAGGAACCTTGTGTCCAGCTCGTCTGGCAGGCACAGTCGGGGAGGGGGAGGGACGCAGGGCACCGGGATGTGCCGCAGGATCAATTCGGGACCAAAACCCTTCTGGAGACTGAATGCAAATGCTCCCCACAGGCCGCATCCCGCGGCCGCACAGAGCTCAGTTGCCCGCGCCGCTGAGTCGCCCACGCCGCTGCCCAGCCCCCCCACATTAGCGCTGGCTGGGGGCGCGCTCTTCCCTCCCGTCGTGCCGGGTGCTCCAAAGCGCGAGCCCCACAGCCAGGCCCGGCCGGGCCCGGCCCCCCCGAGCCAACAGGGCCCAGTGCAGGGGACTCAGCCTCCCAGGGTGACCGGCAAGGGGCTCCCAACATACGTACAGGGGGTGCTTGAGGACGCAGGCCAGAGCCGCAGCGAGGAGCAGGGCCACGAGCCCCATGCACAGGGAGGAGAGCAGCAGTTCCACCGTGTCGTCGTCTGGAAAGGAAGCAGGGAATGGCCACTGCTCTGGGGCAAAGCCACCGGGGCCCGTGCGCGAGAGCTCCCCAGCGGCTGGGGGCCACGCGCAGACCCACAGCCCACAGGGACTGTCCCCCATTCTCTGC